CATAGTGAGTTCCAGGACAGCTGGGGCTACAGGGAGACCCTGTCTCAAAAAGACAAAAAAAAAATTTTTTTTTTTGAAAAAAGACCCTCTCCTTCAGCACGTACCTCGGCTCCAACATTAATCTTCCTAGTGCCTTTTCTTTTTAAACTTTTTATTGAATTTTTCTGTATTTCATTCATAAAATCATCTTTAAGCCCCTTTTCTCCCTAGCACCGCCCATAGTGCCCCTGCCCCCACTGGAGTTCATGCATTCTGTCATTTGTATTAAGGCCTATTATGTAAAGTTAGTGTCCTGACATGTCCCTCCAGGCAAGTTCATCCACCAGCGTTTAGTCAGCCTGTCTAGACTGTCTCTCTTCAAGATCAGCTCTTCCTCACCCAGCAGTAATCAGCTGACACTAATTCTTCGACTATGGTTGGGGCCTGCTGTTCATTTCCTCAGTTCTGTGCTTGGTTTTCGTCTGCCTGTTTGCAGGGGTCTTGTGCATGCTGACAGCATTGCTGTAGGTCTGTATGAGAAGGGTCCCAGGCGCCTGTAGGACTATTTCCACATGGTCATGCACCTTCTCCCTGGCTCTTACTATCTTTCCATCCCTTCTTCTGCAATGGTCCCTGAGCCCTGGGTGGACGGACCCTAGTGCTCTTTTTCAGCCCAAATTGTACATCCTGCATCTTTCTGCCCCACTTGCTTTTTCATTGTAGCTCTGTAAAGTATCTACCATTAACAACCATGCCAACAATTCAACAGTAGGCTCTCTTGTAATTTCCAGCACCAAAGAAATTAGTCTATTACTTTTCAAATTGGCCTTAAGCAAGTTCTTGGATTGTGGGTAGGAGGCAGCTAAATGCTTTGCCAAAATATCCCAGTTCCTGCTGGATTCCTTATTTCCCGCTGTAACTACTTTGCCCTAAAAACTATTTTCTTCAAGGCTCCTAAAAGAACGGCCCATTAAGCGCTGCTTGCAGCACTCACTACTTTTCTAGCCCAAACGTACAAAATCTTCCATGTTCCTCCAAAACCTCACACGATCGGATTCTTCACAGCACCCCACTCCCTGGTATCAATTTCTGTATTAGTTACTTTTCTGTTGCCATGACACCATAACCAAGGGAACATATAAATGTAAAAGTTCGGGCTGGAGAGATGGCTCCGTGGTTAAGAGTACTTGTAGCTCTTGCAGAGGACCCAAGTTTGAATCCAAGCGCCCATGTGATAGCTAACCATTGTCTCTAACTCCAGTTCCAAGGGATGTGATTCCCTCTTCTGGCCTTGGGCACTGCATGACACTGGTGTACTTACATACATGCAGGCATAACACTCACATAAAACTTTAAAAAAATTAATTTTTTTAAAAAAGAAAGATCTTATTTGAGATTAAGATTCCAGAGAGATTAGAGTCCACCACGGTGAAGGAGGGATGGTGGCAGAGTGGCTGGCAGAAAGCTGAGCAGTGACATCTTCAATCAGGCACAGGAAGCCGAGAACTAGAAATCTTTCAAGGCTTAAGAACTCTCAAAGTCCGCCCCCAGGAACATGCTTCCTTCAGCTAGACCACACCTCATAAGACCTCTCAAAACAGCACCACCAACTGGGGACAAAATGTCCATATACCTGGAGTCTATGGGGACATTGCCATTCAAGCCAACACACCGTAGCAGAGGCTGAAAGCTGAGAGTTCACATCTTCCACGGCAAATAGGCAACAGAAAGGGAACTGGAAGTTGGAGAAGGTATGAACTTTCAAAGCCCACCCCCAGGGACGTGCTTCTTCCAGCAAAGCTCCACTTCCTAAAGATTCTACGACCTCCCCAAACAGCTCCAGCAACTGGGGATCATATATAAAGGGCCCAAATACTAAAGCCAATTGGGGACACTTCTCATTCAAAACACCACAAAGGTATACACTGTTTATCTGGTTATCCATCCTGAGCAGTGCTCTGTGGCTTCCAACTCCTGGGCTATGTTGGCTTGCTCTCCCCGACGCAAGAGATACCTCTGTTGACCCAGTGTTGTGGTTTGAATGTGAAATGTACCCTACAAGCTCATGGGTTTGAGCAGTTTGGGCAGAACTGCTTCCTTGAGCAAGCCTCCTCCCACTTCTTGTTCTCCTGCTTGTTCACTGTGAAGACATCACTTTCAGTTTCTGGCGACTGTACTCATGCCTACCACTTGCTGTCAGACCTCTTCACCATGACGGACACTTATCCTTCTGGAACCAGGATATTTGGGCTTATTTTATAAGTCAAAATAAACCCAGATGGTGGTGCTGACTGAGAAGGTTGCTGAGCATTTAGGCAGAGGCCTGCAGGAGGAAGTGGGCCACTCCATGTAGCCTTCAGGCTTTGTAGCCCAGCCCCATTTCCTTATTAGGCTAGGAGCGGTGGTGCATGGCTTTAGTCTCAGCACTTGGGAGACAGAGGCAGGCAGATCTCTGTGAGTTCAAGGCCAGCTTAGTCTACATAGTGAGTTCCAGGACAGTTGAGGCTACAAGGAGACCCTGTCTCAAAAAGACTCCCCCGCAAAAAAAAGTAATAAAAAAAGGGAGAATCTATGATTTTGGAGAATTTTGAATTAGCAATTTATAAAAGTAGTATATTCACAATTCATTAAGTTCCTAAGAAAAGGTAAGGAAAGACTGAATTGGATTCTAACCAACATTGGTGTAGAAATGCAGACATAAGAACTTCTGAGGGGCTGGAGAGATGGCTCAGCGGTTAAGAACACTGGTTGTTCTTGCAGAAGACCCGATTCGAATCCCAGCACCCACATGGAAGCTAACAACTGTTTGTAACTCCAGTCCCAGGGGATCGGACAGCCTCTTCTGACCTCCACAGGCATTGCATGACACGGGTGCACTTACCTACATGCAGGCAATACACGGATACACGCAAAATAAAAATAATAAATTTTTAAAAAAAGTTTAAAGTGGGGTTGGAGACGGGGAGAGGTTCTGAATATAGTCAAAATATACTGTGTGATATTCTCAAGAATTGTATAAAATATTAAACATAAAAATAGTAAAATAAAGTTTAAAAAAAACAAGAACCTCTGAAAACTGCTCAAATGCACAAGGCACCCACAGCTGGGTGCTCCAGGAACATAGTACTCTCAGGCTTCTTTTTGTTTCCTTTGGTCTCACCAAAGGAAGGAGTGTGCCACCACGTCAGGCAGACTCTCAGGCTTCTTTAATCTAGCTTTGGTAAAAGACAATGCAGAAGGCGGGGCGTGCAGATATTAATATAAAATATGAAGGCACATTATAAATAATGTCACAGACTGTTTTATTACAACTCATGGATGAGACAAGACACTGATTATGTGATGCGTTGCTTCTTAACACCGAGGTCTGGCTCTATGGTCTACACAGTGAATAGTCAGCTCTGTTGCTCTCCATCCTCACTGGGGCCAAGGTTCAGGCAGCCCTGCAACACACAGCACCGGCCACCATCAGCCATGTCTTTAGTGCAAGCTGGCTTTTCTTTCCTTCAGTAGTCACAGGTTCTGTCAGTATGGACTCAACCGATTTCAAATAAAAACTATTCAACAAAATTTAAAAACAAGGTAACAGAAAACATCTACGCTGAAAGGCACGGTATGATAACTACTCGCACAGTATACATACTGCATTACGTACTATGGGTAATCTAGAGATGATTTAAAGTAATCAGAAGTTTACATTTTATAAAAGGGACTTGAGAGGCTGGAGACATGGCTCAGTGGTTGAGCACTGTCTGCTCTTGCAGAGGACCTGGGTTCGATTCTCAGCACCCACATGGCAGCTAACAACCATCCCTAATTCTAGTTCCAGGGGGATCTGATGCCCTCTTCTGTCCTCTGTGGACATTGCATGACACAGGTGTACCTAACTACATGTAGACAATACACTCATATGCATAAAATAAAAATAATATTTTTAAAAATTTTTAAAAGGGGCTTTAGCATCTTTAGACTTTGGCCATTTTGGAACAAACTGCCAAAAATCCCTAGGGACAAATGTGTGCAACAGTTTGGAGACTTTCGGGGAGCCTAACTGTAAGCCAAGCAAAAGTTTTAAATATACCTTCCTTATTTACTTCAAGAAATGGAATATGAGCTGTAGTGCCAGCTACTTGGGAGGCTGAATCAGGAGGACCTCAAGTTCAAGGTCAGCAGGGGCAACTCAGTGAGACTCTGTCTCAAAACAAATTTAATAAAAGACTGAGAATGTCAAGATATAGCTCAGCGTCAAGTTCTTGTCAGGTGTGTGCAAGGTCCTAGGTTCTCTCTCAGTGCTGCTTTTTTCAGAAGGAAAGGAAAAGGGGCGTGGTTATGTCACATATAGAAACTGCCTCAAGATGAGTTCTGCTCCTTCACTTTGCTCCATCATCACTGTTGTATACTAAGTCAAGTTCAAATCCAGAGCTGAGTACACAGGGCAGACGAAGCTCACTGGCTTCAACAAGTGCCATGGTGAGGAGGTGCTTCACACTGTGCACCTCTATCAGTGGCAAGCTCTCCTCCAGTGGATGCCAGTACTGTGGGCTGTGAGTGAGGAGGGATGCCCAGTAGGGCCTACTGTACACAGAGATCGAAAGACTGGTTTGTATCAGGTCATGGCTAACAAATGCTGTATCACTTAGGGAGACTTTTTAAATCACCTATCACTTATTTTTCTTACTGAAAAATACAGTTGGGATGTTAGTGAGCAACCTGTGAGTAAGCTCCCAAGAACAGACAGACACGAAGCAGGACAATCCACACACAAGCTTTGTGTGGAGAAGCTCGTCTCTAAACTTGGCAGGTGTGGTGGTGCACACTTACAATCCCAGCATGCAAGAGCATGGCAAGAGGATCAGAAGTGCAAGGTTATCCTTGGCTATATAGCAAATTCAAAGCTAGCCTTGGGATACCTGAAACCTTGCCTCAAAAAAAAAGAAAAAGTGCCAGATATGGTGGTGCACATCTTTAATGTCAGCACTTGGGAGGCAGAAACAGGACGATCTCTGTAAGATGGAGGCCAACCCAGTTTATATAGTGAGTTCCAGGGCAGCTGGGGCTACATGAAGACCCTGTCTCAAAACAAAGTAAAATGCTACTTCAGAAAGTCTCTCCAAATGATTCATTTTTAAAAGGGAACCTGCTTTTCTTGTGAGAGTTGGCACATGGCAGGAATCAGAATATGGAGGATTTAAACAAAATGCACTGTTGATGGGCGTTCCACTAGATGTGGCTTCTGAGCTAGCTCAAACTGTTTTGTCACCAACACAGGAGCCATCACCTGTGGATCAGAAGAAAGTCATTCCACCTACAGCAGAAGCATTGTCAAGACCATAAGGCTCTTAATTTGTATGATCTCTCTCTCTCTCTCTCTCTCTCTCTCTCTCTCTCTCTCCATTCTCTCACTCTCATCTTTTTGCAATAAGGACTCACTATGTAGCTCAGGCTCATAACTTACAAACCTTGTTACCTCTGTCTCCTAAGTATGAGCTACCACCCCAAGGGAGAGAGCCCAGGGTCTTGTCCATGCTATACAAGTGTTTTATCCTAAGCAACACCCCCTGGCCCAACCCAGTTTACTTCTTAAAAAGTTTATTATTTACTTATTTGTTTGTTTGTTTATTTATTTATTTATTTATTTATTTATTATTTTACCCCTCTTCTCAAGAGACTCCGGAAGAAACTTCTCTTTGGTCTGAGAATGAAGGGACATATCATCTCTCCTTTTTTTGCTGACAAATTATCCTCATTTTGACTTTCATTAAGATCCTTGAAACATCCGGATTCAATCACCTGCATGCACAGAACACAGGATAGAGCAACTGTGGAGACACAATGAGGTCAGTAATCTCCTGCCATCGGTTCCCACCAGGTACCTAACCCCAGTGCAGGGTACTCAGAGCACCTAGACCTGCTATGGCTGTTTTCCTGGACTCCTAGTTCCTGACCTCCTAAGTATTAAGAAAGCAACTCTCTTTTCTCCAAATGTATCCCCTCAAAGAAGTTAATTCCACTGGAGCCAAGCTGCCTGCCAGCTCTAATTAAGGGAAACAGAACTCCAGGGTAGCAAGTAAATCCCTAGAGGACCCAAGATCACTGCCTTCTGTCCACCTCCTGTAACTAAGACCAGAGTAGCTCCCATGCTTCTGGTAAATGCTGATGTGGTCTTGGCTTGCCCGTGGTCTAGTTCTATGGTCAAAAGTAAATTTAGTTCACACACACACACACACACACACACACACACACACACACACACACACGCCACACTCATACCCCTACCTGTCATTGTTGAAACTAGCATAAACCTGCTGTGCTAGAACAGGCAGTACCTCATTCTGCCAGGGGATGGTGACACACCCTGTAGCAAACTGAGCATAGAAGGTGTCATCTGTGGTGTCCAGGTTGACTCCTTTCACCTTGGAGAACTGCCCAATATCCAAGACATCCTTACAGTAAACGGCCTGAGGCTGGGCACCAAGAACAGAGAGGCATCAGCCTAGGAGACAACTAAGACAATTTTCTTGTTTGGTTGGAGTTGTTTTCTTTGGATTTTTTAAAAACTATCTCTATTACATGTATATGACTGTTTTGTAGGCATGTATGTTAAGTGTACTTGTGTCATGCAATGCCTGTGGAGGTAGGAAGAGAGCTTTAAGGTTCCCTGGAACTGCCGGGTGTGGTAGTGCATGCCTGTAGTCCCAGCACTTGGGAGGCAGAGGCAGGTGGATCTCTGTGAGTTCAAGGCCAGCCTGGTTTACATAGTGAGTTCCAGGACAGCTGGGGCTACAGGGAGACCCTGTCTCAAAAATACCAAAAATAAAAAAAGATTCCCTGGAACTGGAGTTAGGGGTGTTAGCCACCTTGTGGGTGCCAGGAACTAAACCTGGGTTCTCTGCAAGAGCAGCAAAGGCTCTTAACTGCTGAGTCACCTCTCCAATCCCAAAGCTGTTTTTTTTTTTTTTTGACAGGGTCTCCCTCTAGCCCCAGGTGGCCTGGAACTATGTATCAGGTTGGACTTAATCTCACAGAGATCTATCTGCATGTCTCTGCCTCTCAAGTGCTGAGACTAAAGGTGTATACCACATGCCTGGTTCTTAAGATTTTTGAGATAGAAATATGCAGCCTAGGCTGGCCTTGAACTCACAATCCTTCTCCCTTGGCCTCCTAAGTGTTAGGATTATAGGTTTGTGTCACACATACCTAGCTTATAAGGATATTTATTTTATTTTTCAGCTACTGAGGATTGAATCTAGGGCCTCGTATGTGCTAGGCAAGCACTCTACCATGGAGCTACATTCTGTGCTTTAGGATACCTCTTAGCTCCCTTAATTATTAATAACAAAATGCAAAATCCATGCATAAACACCACTACAATTCCGATCTATTCATTGCAAGCCCCTCTTCTGAAACTAATCTTCTAATTTATACATATGCATCCTCTGACACAGCAGGTCCTGTGGGTCTCTGACCCAGTTCCTTCCTCCCTCCCTTTTACTTCCCCACCAGAGGTGTTGATACAGCCCTCATGAGGGCCCCTTTTCTTTTGTGCTGCAGAACTGTAGGACAGGGCGGGTTGCTTTTTTTGGGAGACACAGGGAGAGCTAGAGAACTGCTCAGGCATAGGGACCACTGACTGTGGGATCCGTTAGTGACAATTTTCGACCTGCTTCTGCCCTGGGCAACCTACTCTCAAAGCACCTGCTTACATTCTAGTAGAAAGTTAAGTGGGCTTCCTGCTGGCAACTCCCTGGGGACTGGGGCCCAGGCCTGCTGCCCCTACCCTGGTACTGCTGTCCTCATGAGCAAGGGGTCAAATAAGCGTCAGGCTGCCAAGGATTGGGCCTCCATTCCTGGAGAGGTTCTTGCCCTTCTGCAGCTAAGGAACACAGAGCAGAGTTCCACAGCGAAGGGGCCCTCGTCTACTACTGTAAAAGGCACCTACACTTGGAAGGAGTCACTGTGCTGTTTACTGAGCTGCACAAATGATGAGCGCATTGATCAAAGACGCAATGTTCTGCTGGTGACTGGTCAGCACCAAGCCTAGAGCAGCTGCTATTCTCATTTATTCCACAAGGTATGAAGGGCAGAGGGACTGGTAAACTCTCTCTTGGGACAGTCAAGGCCAAAACCCCAGACCCATACAGCCCTACACACCAATAGTTAATTCTGTAAGCAGAACTTCCAGAGTTTTCTGAACTGGCACCTCAGAGGGTCATTGGCTTAAACCCAGGAGGATGTGGACAGTCTAGGATGGCTCCTGTCTGGCATGTTCCCACTCCCTCCTCAGAGACTACCTTGGCCTGCCTTCCCTGCTCTTGACCCAAGCAGCCCCATCTCCAGACGGGATGACTATATGAAGTCCTGGTCACATACACCTGACACTCAAGCTCTGCCAGCACGTTAGCCAGCCTGTCTTCCTTCGTGTCTCTCCAGATGGATGGGCTTCCTGGGGGCAGAGGCCTTGCCTGCCTTCCTCTCCCTCTGCCTTTATACCTAGAGTTCTGCTGGAGGTAATGGGCATGCCCCAAGTATGTCAAGTGGGAACTAAATCCAAGGAGCAGTTACTACTATAACAAATACTATAAATAAAGAACATAGTAAGCTCTGAGGAAGTCTTACAAATAAAAGTATCTTAATTGTAAATCTATCTTAATTCTATCCAACCTTGAAACATTATCCTGTCTTTCCATGTCTAGACTGTGTCTGTAGCAGGCTGTCTTCACTTATTTACCCTTTTGTTAGCAGGACTCATTTATTATGTACTGGACTCCCCCCAGGCATTGACAGGTGCCAGGCCTTGCACTAAGCTCTTTGGAGACATGACGTATTTGATCCCAATGGCATTTCCACAAGGAAGTGTGAAGCCAGCACTGAGATAGAACAGGGATAGTGGTACAGAGAAACTTCAGAGCATACGAAGGATGGCTGAGGTGGCATTGAGGAGTGGGAAAAGGACAGGAGCTGAGCTGCACCAGCAGTGACAGCATACCCAAGGCTTGAGAGCTGGAGAACTTCTAGGAAGATCTCCCAGAAGCTGGAGGGTGAGTGGGATATAGGCAAAGGAGGAAGACCTCACAGAAAAGAAACCACACCGTGGCTGTACTAGGTGTGCTTTAACCAAGACTTTGGAGGCATCAGTGTCCTTGGGGATTCAGCTACTCTGGTCAGCTGACTTACATCAGGACGGAAAGGAGGATCTAACATATGTGCTTCCAGTCTGCTAAAGTTAATGTCCTTGAACACAGGGTGCCGCTTCACTTCCGCAGCTCCGCCACTCTGACAGCCTAGCCGACTACTTGGATCCTTGATGAGTAACTACATAAGAGGGAGAAAAAGTCAACTGAAGGTCCTACAATAAAAATGGAAACTCAAAACTGACCATTTCAACAACGAAAGAACTAGGCAGAACACATACACATTTAAACAGTTACTATGGTTTCAAAGTGTCAACCAAACTGTACAGATTCCGACTTAAATAATTAGATTATGGCATGCTTCACCAAAGGTAGGGCAAGTTTTGCTTTTGAGTGACCAATAAATAGCACTTTGGATAAGTTAATCCTTAAGTTTAAAAAATCATTTTTGTTTGTTTTTGAGACAGGGTCTCATCATGTAGCCCTAGCTGGCTTAAAACTGGCATTGTAGATCAGGCTGGCTTTGAACTCACAGAGATCCACCTGCTTCTCCTCCCCCCCACCCCCCCGCCCCCAAGTGCTGGGATTAAAGGCATGGGCTACCACTCCAGCCTAAAGTAAAAAAAAAAAAATTAATCTTTTAAAGAACAACCAGTGTTTTTAACTGCTGAGCCATCTCTCCAGCCCCACCTATGGGTTTTCTTAAGACAGAGTCTTGATCTTGAATTCTTGATCCTCCTGCCTCTATGTGCAGAGTGTTGAAATTACAACTATTTATCACTATACCCGAAACAAGAAAGTGTCTCTTTCAAAAGTATTCCTTACATACGTATTTATAATTGTTTCAAAATCAAATAAGCCTTCCTCTACAATCATCAATCAAATAATAGACTGTCTGGAGAAGAGGCTCATGCCTGTAGTACCAGCTATCTGAAAGACTAAGGTTAGGTAAAGGCTTTGAGCCCAAGGTTGGGAAACTGCAGCCTAGGGCCATGTCATACCAGCGGCCTAGTTAGTAGACAAGGCTTTATTGCCACACAGCTATAGCAGTTTACACCTGCCTGTGGCTGCTAGGCACTATCCTGGCAGGGCTAAGTAGTAGGTGGTGGAAACCTGTAAAGCCCAATGGTGTCTGCTAGCTGGCCCTTACAGAAGACCTTGCTGCAGGTGGCAGCCAGGCCCAGATGACAATTCAAGAGGAGGGCACAGAGGGTGAGGCCTTTGTAAGTGACCTGTATGTCCTAAGCTGTCTTCCTCCAATCCATCGATGGCAAGTTTAACCCGTTAAGAGCCAACAGTTTCTCACAGTAGTTATTTAGGAGTGTGGTGATTAGTTTTAGTTGCTACCTTGGCACAGTCTAGAATCACCTGGGTAGGGAGCCGCAGTGAGGAATTGTTCAGATTACCTTACCCTATGGGCATGTCTGTAAGGATCTTCTTAATTGGGTTCATTGAGGTAAGGAGGCAACATTTCACAAACTGGGCCTCAGACTGAATGAGGAGAAAGGAAGGTGAGAACTGGGATACATGTATTTGTCCTGATGGTGGACATAACGTGACAAGCTGCTTCAAGTTCCTTCAGCTTCCCCTGTAATTATGCATTATTGCCTGGAATGGTGAACTAAGCACACCCTTTCTCAGGGAAGTTGCTTTTTGTCAAGGTATTTTACCACAGGAAACAGAACTGAGACAAGAAGCAAGTGGCTGCAGATCTCACCTGTACTACTTGACTTTGTCCACCTGGCCTCATCTCTTACCTGCCCTTTTCCTGAAGACACTTATTTCATGTGTATGAGTGTTTGCCTGCCTGTATGTATGTGCACCCATTTGTACCAGAAGAGGGCACTGGATCCCCTTGAACTGGACTGAGGGACAGCTGTTAGCTGCCATGAGAGCAGTGGGAACTGAACCTGGGTCCTCTACAAGAGCAGTCAGTGTGCTTAACAGCTGGGCCATCTCTCCAGTTCCCCTCTCACCCACATCTTAGAGAGGCAAGCTGGAGAGGTGAGATGGTTTTAGGACACTGAGACCAGGGCAGCTCCAAAGCTAGCTACTTACAAATGCTCCCCTTATTCAGACACTACTTTCTTGCCCAGTGCCCCCAAAGCAATTGGATCTCATCCTGAAAAATCCTTGAGCCCTTGTTTCTAACTTAAGTTTATGGTACTCAACAAATTCTGGTTTTTTACTAGTCAATGTTATAGTTACTGGTCTAACACTAAACTGTGAGCTCCTTAGGGCGGGGCCCATTTCTGCTTTCAGCCCTGTCCTTCTTGCAGCTCTGTCAATGTCCTGTGTGTAGCAAGCACTGCATATTTTCCAAGCTGAATACAAAAGTAGATTGGTCAAAACATGATGGCATGTTGTCAGCCCCAAGCCAAAATATAGCTGGGAGAAAAGGCAGGGCGATCCCACAGCTCAGTGACGAATCTGTAATATCTAACTTTGTATATAGAAGCAAAGGAAGGAGCCCAAAGTAACTGTTCCCCAGCTACTACACTCACGTAAGTCTCCAGAACACAGTACTTCAGTAAAGGGCCAACTGCTGGCCATTCTCATCTTCATGCAGAAACCTGTGCCTGGCTACCCTCCACTGCCCACCCTACAGGGCCACTCTCTCCCTGGGTCACATCCTAGGTTCCTCAGGACCAGCAGGTCCTCATCAACCCTTCCCAAGCAGATTCCTGTTGATATGTCCTTCCAGTTGTTGTAATCCTGGCCTAGAGAAGCCCCGATCCCAACAACCTGTGGCTCGCGTGCCCATCGTCTACTACTGAATCTGCCTTTTCCTACATTCCTTTCCCTCATCCACTTAGACCCCATGGTCCAGCACCCAGCCCTCTTTTCTCCCCTGCCCAGCTTCCCTGCCTCCTTCTTGCTTCAACATACCTACCTATCCAAACTGCAGAGCTAGCTGGCCCTGGGCCTGTTCCTCCATTGAGGTCAGGAACATAGCACCAGTGATCACGATCCATATCTCCCTGTGAATCCACTTGATGCTTACGAGGACTGCTTTTGCATGCCCTAGTCCTTCAGCCTCATATTCTCTAGGTAGTGCCAGAGAAGACAGAAGGCCACGCCTATGCTACTGTGCCACCGACACTGCCCTGACACTATGAGAGGGAACTGCCTAACTCTCCCCTGTGCACCCCTACCCTGTGCATCCTCCCCTGTGCTCCCACTCTCCTAGAGAAGGCGACACCCCTCCCAGCACCCCAAGCCCTTGGGCCCAGCAAGTCCTCACCTCCCCACACCAGTTCCGACCTGTCTTCCTGCTCAGTTTCAGCTCAGGCCACCAGAAATGGGCAGAGACAACAACCTTCCCATTTCAAAATACATTAGAAATTACTTTTACATTTAATTTCACATAAAATGAGTCAATGAATAAGAAAGACTCAACAGCTATTTTCTAAAAACAGAATAACCTTGGCACCACTGTTCCTTTCAACAGCATCACTACAGAAAGGGAGTCATGAATTTCACTCTGCTTCGCTCTAGTTGACCAGTCTTTCCTGAGTCAGGTCTGGGGACTTGACCTCTTGCTCCCACTGTCTGTCTGCAACAACATTCCAGGCAAGGGCACCATGAAGGAGGCAGGTGACTGAGGGGCCGGCTGACCTCTCCTAGGCCTGGGTATCACTGCTGAACCCGGACTTATGCGCTGAGAAGGGGTTGGCCGGCCCACTGAAGACTGCCTGTCTGCCTGAGTACTATCTTAGCCATTCCGAGAGCTAGGTGGACTAAGTCTTCCAGCTTTGATGGACCCTGACCCACCATCTTGCAGAAGGACTTGGCGTGCTCTGAAAACTTCTCAGAGTACTCCTCAGCTTCCTTCTTCGATCTTCTCTCCAGTTCCTCCCGGGGAATTTTCTCTCTCCATTTTCTGAATGGAGAATGCCCTTCAATCATTTCATATACCAGACAGCCAAGTCCCCACCAGTCAGGACTAAATGTATGCTTTTCATTATCGATAATTTCCGGAGCTACATAACAAATAAAGGAAGTTTTTAATTAAAATTTGTTTTTTAAAAAAGTTTTCTAAGCCGGGCATGGTGGCGCACACCTGTAGTCCCAGCACTTGGGAGGCAGAGGCAGGCGGATCTTTCTGAGTTTGAGGCCAGCCTGGTCTACATGGTGAGTTCCAAGACAGCTGGGGCTACAAGGAGACCCTGTCTTAAAAAAAAGACCA